GAACCTCTGACCCTGAACAGAAGTAGACAAAATAAATCTAAAAGTTTTCCATTTAGGATTAAAACTAGTGAAGGTTAATGAGGCATCTTGCGTTGATACTGTCTGGTAGAATACTGACATCTGCTGGACCTTTAAAGATACTACAGGCAGCTTATTTGTTAACAAAACTCATGTTAAGCAACTTTTCTATCTAATTATTAATTCACTTAAATTATTTACTTTGATTATTAACTAAAGAAGGTTTCAGCAACTTAATAAATCAGCAATTTTTTTTTTTGCAGATATATGGGGGATGGATGTACAAACTCATCAACTAAATCACAATCTGTTAATTTTATTTATTCTGTTTTCAAGTTATTTCAAATGTGCTCTTAGTCACCAAATGCTTTCTTAATAAGTAATGTTATTTTACAAGAAGCATCACAAAATAATCACTGTTAGATTACTAATTAATGGTAAATTTTCCATTTAAAGATGTGGAAATAAACAGTGAGATATTTTTGAAATATTGATTTACAACTGAACGCTATTTTATGATCTGACTGGTCTGCTGTGCTCCTTGGTCTTCATAATTCTGAAGGTTAGATAATATTCATTAGTCATCAACACTAACTTTTAGCCACCAGGGGGCGCCAGATCATCCAAGGTTACTGCACCTGAAAGAAACTCTGGCAACAAAGCATCGTCGTAAAATTAAAAATGTCTCTCTCTGATAACGGACCAATTTGGACCAGAGGTTGAGAAGTTATAAAGACGAAGACACATTCAATGCACTAGATTAAATCCTGCATCAAATAATCTGAAATATGTCTAATCAGTTAAGGTTCAGAACATGTTTATCATCTTATATCTTAGTTAGCTCTCATGTTTGAGGTTGATCTCAGACTGCTGTAGAGGCGTGCCGGTTACATGACTTATTCAGTGACTGATCAGAGCCTCTTATTTAATATGCAGGTTTTTGTCAAAAATTAGAGTTGCTTCAAATGACTCACAGAGGTGGACAATGTTTAGGTCTGAATACTAGAAATCGACCAGTAAAGGTTTTAGAAGGCTGTTGGTGATTATTTTAACGGCTAACTGATCCCCATTATGTGCTGCTGATTGCTTTTAGGCCCATATGTTGCTTTATTTTCCTCCAATTATTTGATGCAAAATGTTAACAAAAGTTTCTGTTTATGAGAAAATAAGACAAATCAAAGAAAACTTTATCCTTGGATAGCAAAAGGAGGGATCGGCGATTCATGCACTTCATGTGATCTCAAGGCATGTCTGCTGGATGAATTGATGAACACATTGGCTGATGGCAACAAAAGGAAAAAAGAAAAACACAGTCAGAAATATCAGCTAGACAATGAATCAGTCCAGTCCGCATTATATCTTTCACGTATCATGTATATCATTAAAGTAGATCTATTTACAGCCCTAGAGTGCTTTATCATATCACATACAGCCCAAATCTAATATATAAAAGTTGTAAAAAATTTAGCAAAACCTTTAAAAGCTTCATTTTAAAGTTAGTTATGAAAGAATGGGGTGGAAGAGAGGCCTTTGTGATCATTTTGTTGTTTTTTTAGATCAATTCTCACATTAAAGCTGTTAGCCGTTTGCAGTTATAACCATGGTTTATTTACAACCCCCCTCTCTTTTTCTGCTCTGTGCTAATGAGTGTGTATTTGTGTGTCCCCTGTGCTCTCTGCAGGGGGAGTTTGGTGTTTATTTAGTATCCGACGGCTCCAGCAGGCCCTACCGCTGCAAGATCAAAGCTCCAGGATTCGCTCACTTGGTGCGTACCCATAAAATAATAATGCCTCCCGATCAATAATTTATAATATTAAATGACTTCTCCTCAAGGCAGCTCTTATATCATGACTTTCATTTTCCAAATTACTTTAGAATCACTTTTAAATTCACAATGAAGCTCCTTCATTTCCTTCTTTTAGCTCATGGCTACATGAAATGCAGCTTAGCATATTTAAATTGTGGCTTTGCAGGGCAAAAAACCTCTTTTGCACCGCATAAACAAACTATTAGTGTAGTTAGTGGATAGTCTTCAGGCTGTTTTCTTATGACTGCTAAAAAAAGAAAAGGGTTTCTGTATGAGCTCATCTGTAGCGAGCGCTGTTGGTGTGAATGTTAAAATGTCTGCTTGATTCTAGGCTGGTCTGGATAAAATGGCGAAAGGACACATGCTGGCAGATGTGGTGGCCATTATCGGTGAGAATGGCATCAGTTTCGCAGGAAAAAAACAAAAGAAGAAGTGGTCATAAAGTTCCTCTTCTTTAACCCCCCTTTGATCCTCTCCCCTCAGGTACACAGGACATAGTGTTTGGGGAGGTTGACCGCTAACGTCATGCTGCTCGTGAAGATTTGGTTCCATCGGCGCTTCTTTTCTGCTCACTTCAGTTATCCTCTAATATTACATGTACAATGCTCAAATCAACCTAATAAATGTTTTCTCTCTGAGCTGATGTGGCTTCTTCTTCCTGTCAGAGTTTGAAGGTGGAAGCGTTTTTAGAACTGCTCTATTTCTACTGTTTGTGTTATTGAGAACAGATACCAAAGCCTCGGTGGTGCATCTTTTCCTCTGGTTTTCAGCCTTCAAAGGGGGAGTGGTCTGATTAGATCTGAGAAAAATGGACTTAGAGCTCAGACCACAACTTCCCCTCATAGCTGTGAGGTGTGCAATACCCGAGCCCTCACCAGAGCGCAGAGACGAGAGGAAAAACATCAACAAGCTTCTGCCGCGAAGGAGCCCAGCCGTCCGAGTTAAACCTGTAGCACCATGGGAGCGTGGGGCGGGAGTCAGCTGCTGGTAGCGGTACCTCTCTGGATGTGTTTTGGCAGAGCTGGTGAGTCCGGAGAACGGAGCTGAAGAGCTGACCTTTTTTTAATCTGCGTTTTTAGATCAAACCAATAAAGATTTAACTGGTTAAACAGTGAGGATTGAGACGAATCTGGTAAAATACTGAAAAAAAAAAACACATCCCAAACTTTTCTGTTTGATGTATATTTTGGCAGAAGTGCGCAGTGAGGTTTTGGAGACACTGGGCCTTATTGTGCTTGGTGTAGGCAGCAGAAACGCTGTCACTGTTTCTGTCAAAGAGGAAACTGACCTCGCTTACTGCAAACCAGCAGAAATAACGTGTGGATCAAGTTTAACGGCTAAATTCATTCAAAGCTCCTTTTATCTACATCCTCTATATAAATCTACTCGCTCATCTTAATAAACAGTTTGTGTTTTATATATATTAAAAGCTGGAAATTTAAACTCTAACCTCAAACCTAAGTACAAGTTTAAGGTTAGATTTTGTTTGTTTCAAACATACTGAAAGTTTGTTTGATAAACCTCAGGGGGTCCATCATTTTGTCTCAGTATGTTCAAAGTCTACTACAAATACAAGAAAACATAAAATATGCATATTAACATATTTTTTTCCTTTCAAAACTAGCACAAAAAAAATATTAAAGTCAGTAGGTATTCGTAATGTCAGGGGTGTTTTTTTTTTTAAAGATATCCGATTTTCTTATTTCCTGCTTTTTGTTTTTCCTTTTCGCTTCAAAGTTTATTGCCGATAACTTTATGTGAGCCATTCTGTAATTTCAGTGTTAGTATCTCGGAAATGGTTCATCCTGATATGTCAGTTTTTTATTAAACACCACAGGTCATGGCCTACTTTTATTTTTATTTTATTTTTTACCTTCGAAGCCCCAGATCTCTGCCACTTTCAGAAAATGGATCTTATTTCTAATGTTCAAATTTTATTTAAAAAAAAAGACTGTCCCTCAAATATGTTAGGATACGTGTTCATTTATTAGTCACATATATAAGGAAACTATTTTGAGTGTATATTTGTTTTTTTCTAAACCCAGCTCTGCTGGTGACTTCATCAGAACAGGAAGGGAGATATCACCACAGACAGAGATCATCACGTCTGATATCAGGGGGCAACATGTCTATTACAGCTGCTGAATTTATCCTCAACAAAATGGCTTTAGCTGAAAGCAAGAGGAGTGTGGTCCTCTGGAAGTGAGTCACTTTTGGACACCAAGCATGTGATCAAAGACTTTAGGGAAGTGCTGCAGTTCCTTGAATTTGGTAGAGAAGAAAGAAAGTGGGAAGGAAGCAACAGAACTTCGAGGCAAAGTGCTTAAAAAGTCAAAAGAAATGTCGTGCATGAGCTGTCTTTTTCATTTAGGGTGACATAAATCATATTGCTGAAGGGATGTAGTTCAATTTTTTAATAGTTCAGCATTTACTACCAATGTGTTTCAAGCTGAGGGTGGTAACCTGACTGCTCTGAGTTTTTATTTAGCCCTTGAAGGTTTCGTAAGGCGGACGGACCAAGATAGGAGGTAGAAGGACTATTAAAAGTACAATATCACTTTGAAGAAAAACACCTTTTCTGAACCGTAGGTTAAATAAGAACAGCAAAAGCTGATTCTACCTTTAATCTTATTCTTAACTCGAAGCCAGCTCTTTGGACGTGTTCTGCACGATGCAGCCCAAGTAAAAAAAAGCAGATTATGTTTGAAATGAACATCACAAGATAAAAAAACGAAACAGTTTTGTATAGTTTAAAAATGTACAGCTTATTAATCTCATGAAAAATAATACATACACACAATAAAAATATATTTGGACAAACTTATTTCCATTCTGATACTTGAACAACTATAAACTATGTGATATATTTCTTTATTCTTCTGGCAAATGTTTAAAGAGTACTTTTTTAAAATTATTTTCTACAGTTAATGTAATTCTTGTTTATCTTAAAGGGAATTTAAATCATGCGATCCTCTGCTACAGACTGAGGAACTGTTTTCAGAACACATGCAGGCATTATAAAACATACTTAGTAGAAATTAGATTAATCAAGAAAGTAAAATTTAGAGGATTCTTCTTAATCCATGCTCTGAAATTTAGAAAGACAGATACAAATACATAATTCAGATTATAAGATTACTTTTTAAAACAAGCATTAACTTATTTTTCACTGTATCAACAATGTTGTGTTTAAAAGGTGCTTTTATAAGACTGATGTAATTTTCTGTGATGCAATGTTTTTTTTTTTAAGGTCAGAGTGAAAAATGATCAGAAATAAGGTTAAAAACGGCCGTCTAAAATCCTTTTATTGATGGTTTTGAACTGAGATAATATGGTACATTAACCAGGATAATATTCCTGTTTATTAATGTGATTATACATAACAAAATTATTAAAAATATGTTGTCAATACTAGTAATTATTACCAGTATCTCTTAGGGAGTTCTGGCCGCTAATCGGCATATCAGTCCACTAAGAAAAGCAGACGCTGGTGAATTTAGATCAGTAGATCACTAAGATTTGGTCCTTTCACAGTTTATGCCCCATGTCTTTATGTTCTGCTGCTTTTTTAGAATATCCACTTAAAGAAACTCATAACAAAAAAAGCAGAATTAAAAAGCCAAGGAAAGGGAAGCAATTTATTTCTTTTTCTTTTTTTGACCGTCTGCATAAAAAAAAAAAAAACCTCTTTTTTTTTTCTAATAAATACAAGACATCAAAAATAAACTCAGGTTTTATGTATTCAAATTTCAGGTAAAGTGAACAGCATGCACTTTTTCTTTATGTTGTGGAGCCTCGACAACAGTGAAATTGCAGAATGAGGAGAAATTGACTCTTAAAAACAAGAAGAACCTTACTTTGTGTCATTGCAAAGTTTTTTTTGTTTTGTTTGTTTCCTTTTCCACATCATGTTTTGTAAGAATTACAAAATTGTATTGATATTAATATTAAAAGGTATATATATTTTTTTGTCCTGAAGTATTCCAAAAATTTAAATTTAGTCAGATTTGATGTCGATAAAAGTTGCTGTCATTTTTAAATCTGTCTTTTAATAACTACTTTCATTTGAATATAGTGTATTGGTAAAGGCTAATATATCATAACTAAAACAGTCAAATTATCATTATTAAACCTATTAGAAATATAGGACTAACTAAAATGACAGCGTCACACCGTTTTAAACACTAAGACTTATGGAAAAAATACTTTTAGAAGAACAGCAAAATCTTTGAACTTGTTCAAAGTGTGATAAAATCCCCAGAAAATTTTTTTGATTTGACTGTTTTAGTTCCTATAGAAGATGGTTCCTGGTTCATAGGAACTCTACAAGCGGAGGCAACAGAGACCAAGTCAAAACAGAAGATAACACAGAGACAATAAAACCAGGATGGATTTATAGATATGTACCAATGAAAGAACCAAGCACAGAAGGCCACATCCAGCTGACTTAAGGATAAAACTTTCCAATGATGAAAAAGATCATCTGGATGTGAATCTCTGAGCTTTAATGAAAAGCAGAATTTAATTAATGAAGAGAGCTGTCCCAGGATTTCATATATAAACGTCACCACAGTCTAAAGGAGTCTAAAAAGGTTGAAGCGACACGATGTTTCCTGACTTGTAAATGGAAAGTAACCTTATTTTCATTAAGTTTCTATCAGATTTAGATATTCAACCCAGGCTTCTTTACTGTTCTTTGTCGATGGCCTGTGCGCAACAAGTTTCTTTCATAATCTACAAAGGTTCAAATATTGTTGCCTAATATGGTAGTTCTGTAAATGGCTCGACGCTAACGTCATCATCACAGAGACATGTCGTAAAGTGGAAGTCATGTCACCCCGTTCACAGATTGTCTCCTTCTCTATCTTCCAGCTGCTATCACAGAACCAGAGATCTGTTATATCCTGGATGGCATTCTCTTCCTGTACGGCATCATCCTGACTGCGCTCTACTGCAGAGTCAAGGTTTGCATCCCATGTCTCTCCATCTGTGTTTAGAATGAAGCAAACCATTGCTTAGTCTGTAATCAAACCAATATTGACAGATGACAAAAACGAATTCAGACATCAATGCATTTTCCCCATTTTTCCCAGTAAAGTATCACATTTACAACCTGTTGCTCTGCAGCCTATCGATCAAAGGACAGACTTTATATTAGAGTCCTCAGTTTTAAGGAGGAAATGTGTTAAATATCAAGAAAAGATCCAAATTTATTCATACCTAAAGGATAAAGAAACCCTAAAAACATTAGAGCAATAATAAAGATATAAAGTTTGCTTTAATTGCTAAGAATTTCAAATAATGTCTAGGTCCTTTAATAAGTATGCTTTACATGTCGAAGGTCCTTTGTTTTTTTTGCATTTTATCCACAAACCTTAATGTGTCTTTGGGGGATTGCAAGTCGACAAAAAACACTGGGCTGAACTGGAAGGACTGTGAAACATGGCTTTCAAATTGTTTTAGATATAAAAATTTAATAAGTGTGCCATGCATTTATGCATTGGCATAAACTCCTTGGACACAAATTCCTTTGAAGCCTAATCGGCAAAGAAAACCTCAGTGTTCAATGTCATTTCAGCAGAATCGCTGTTCTTTTTGCCTCAAAGGTTTTATTTTAGTTTGCATATTGGTGTTTTCAAAGGTTTTATTTTGAAGTAAACCACGAGCCATTTAGAGCTGCCGTATTTCCTCTATAAGGGAGTGATGATCAAGACAGATGTGAGAGAAACAGCATCATGAAGTCAAAGGAATCCATGGTAGATGTCAGGGATGAAGATCCAGAATTTAGAGCAGGGTTATGTTTTAAAACTACATTCCAACAAAGTTCAACACATCATCTAAAAATGGACGAAGTACGTGAACGTTCTCAGAAACTGACAGGCCACAGAACAATCATGAGGAAAGCTGCCATGATATCTACGGAAGCCCTGATGACATGCTGAGATCCACAGCTCAAACGGAGTTCAGCTGGTTGGGAACTTTGCAAATCTGACATGGTGGCAGGAAGACAGCTGTTGCTGAGAGAAAGTCCTGTTTATAATTTTTATAATTAATTTTATAATTTTCCACAATCACACAGGGGTCACAGCAGCCTGATGGAGGACTGTGCCCCAGCCAGATGAGAGTAGAGTAGAACTATTTCCGGCTAAAACACAAAGTTGATTGTATAAAAGATGCACATATCTCTGATCACAGCGTTCTGAAGGGAAACACCGTGACGGCAGCTACATGCCTTTCTGAAGCTTTTCTTCAGCAGCAGTGAGGTCATCAGAAGCTTAATGTGGCTAAAGGAAAATCTGTAAATAAAAAGGTTATAACAGATTAAAGTGGAGGTTTACCTTCCATCAAGGAAAAAAAAAAAGATTGAAGATTGATGTGGAGAAATGTATGTTCCTCTATAGAGGCAAGTAAAGAACATGTTTTTGTAAATGGAAATAAAAAAAAAAAAAGCAATTGAAAAAATTAAAATAATTTCAAAATCTAAATCTGAGAAAACAACAGTAACTTTAAAACTTTTTTTTTTTATTAAGTTTTGTTTTTTCGGTTGGATATAGCGAAGTACCATTCAAAAAAATGAGTTTTTTTTCTTGCGACAGTAATTCCCCCCATGTATTTCAAACCTATGTTTTTAATATATCTCAATGCATAATTGTGCTGTATCATTATTATTTCTATTTTTAGTTTCATTTATGCAATAGATCTCATACTGATCTTAAGAAAGAAAAAAACAACCTTAAACAGAGGGGGTGGACTCAGATTTCAGCTTTCAAAAACATACAATGCAGCAATTTAGTTGATCCCCTCCCACTATCATCTCAACCCCAACCCCTTTACAGGGGAACAGAAGACCCTGCCTATTCAGCCAGGCTGAGAATTACCCCCTTTCAGAGACATAGACAGGTACGGGGCATTGCAGGCTAAAAAAAGAAGCCAAACGACGTGTTCGTACGGTTCAATTTGAATGTTTTCTAAACAAAAACAAGGCTTTGTTGGGCTACTGCATAAAGCCTCTAACTCAACGCTATTTCTGACATTTTGAATTGAAAAAGCTTCCTGGATGGGAAGCGAAATGTCTTCAAACTTCCCAGTCCAGTGGTTTGTTTTTTTTTTACTTTTTTGGAATACTGTACTTAACCCAACTCATAACAAAACTGAGCCAGCAGATTTACAGGCCTCAATCTAACTAAAAATCAGTGGCAAGCCTTGAAAAGTAATGAAACAATCCTTATTTTATCTGAATAATATTGAGCAATTTTATGAAAAAGTCTTTGTTATACATTATATTTGTTATTTGGTGTAAGCCTGATAGACATGCCCAAACACTTACAGCTGCAACAGTAACTCTGCAACTATTTCTCTGAACATTTTAAGCTCTTTGAGTGCTTTAGCTGTTTGGTTTGCTCCTGGGATTGAGACTACAGGTCTGGTGTTAGGTCACCGGACGCCCCGGCCTCCTCTTCATCTGTCAATGCATCCTTGCTGCGTCTCAGGATCTATTCAGCTTTGGGTTAAGTTCAAAGGAAGCTATGTCCCCCTGAAGGTGGTTACATCTCAGAGGTTCCCTTCCGGTTCTTTTCCTGGGATCAAGCTACTTGGTTTAAATACTCTTAACTCAAAACTTGGTAAATCTATATAAAAATGACTAAAAACAGGAGTTTTTAGTTTATTCCAGATCAGATTGCTACAGGACAGAGAAATTGCTTGGAGTCGGCACAGCTGTGGGCTCAAGTCATCAGCCCGCAATGGCATCTGGAAAACGAGCCCCGAACAATGTCATCTCCTGCTTCTTATATCTCATGAGTCTATGTGTTGCATCAGGTGGATGCTTAGCTTTCCATGTCAGGAACTGACACGCCATCCATGCCCTGACCTCTTTGCCTCTTGCATCTACGCCTCAGGATTACAGATAGCTCTTCTTTATCAATCTGGCTCCGGGATGTATCGTTATCCTGTGTTGATTGCACAGACAAGACTGTCCTAATTAGATAGAGGTGATACATCATGTGAAGGAAGGCTGTCCACCCCATCTAATCTGGCTAACAGATAGGTAATAAACACGACTAATAAAGAATAAACCTAACAGTTAAGAAGGTCTAAAGTAAAAACCCAACAGTTCTCAAAGCCCTGCACCATTTCTTCTTTTACATCTAACAACATGTACGTTTATGTCTATAAATATAGACATAACATCCTTAAATAGAAATAAAAATGGAAGGTACAGTAATAACAATAATAATAATCCAACATAATATAGAGTCTTATTTACCATTTCTTTTTCTGTTTTAAATGTTTTATAGATCTACAATGCCAGAGAGGCCAAGGCAGGCAAAGGAAAGTCAAAGCAGGTAAGAATGGCTGCATGTCTAAAATGAGACTTGTCTAAAAAGCAGAAACAGATGCGCTACACCGCAGCACAAAGTAGCCTGTCATTTGAAAAAAAAAAACTGAGCTAAAGGCTAACCTCAGTGGACATGCTGAGGTTTTGGACGTGGAGGAAATTAGCACAGAGCATGCTTTAACTGTGTGTGTGTGTTTGTGGTAAGTTATACTGAGTCTCTGCTGTTGGTTTGACTTCTTTTTTTTTCTGAGACCGCTGAGCAAGTTAGAGGAGTCTAAACATCCTGCCCACCTTCAAACTCAGCCCACTGAAATGAAGTTCAGTTTCAAATCGTATCACTTTTGATAAGATGGGTTTCACAGACAAACTGTGTCAATTACTGAGTTTTTCTTTCTTAGAGCGACACACCCTAAAACCACTGTGAGATTTCCCATCCTATCTGGTCGTTCTTGAAAACTTGTGTCGCAAGACATGTGGCTAATGTTTTTCTTGTCTCTTTTCTTCTTTTAGGCTGTCGAAGAGGGCATATATACGGTGAGTTTTTAAAATAGGTAACACTATGTTGTGTTACATTTACCTTGTACAGTTTTTTTTATGTATATTTATATACATTTTCTCATCTTCTCTCTCTCCTACAGGGTCTGACTCCTCATGCACAAGACACATACGAAACCATC